GCAGACATTAATAATTCTCTATTGTCTCCCTTTTAATTAAAACTATCTGTTAGTTCACCGTAACTACTTTTTCTAAAAACCACTCTCATAGGTTTCTTAAACTGTGGGTTGCGACCCCCTAGGGGATAGCGGGACCTACAACAGAGGGTCGCCAAAAATTTTAGCAGTTTTGATAGTTCTTTTAACTTTATACTTATTTCTTTAACTTTAATAATTAACCAAACATTTTTGCACAATTTATCTGAAAATAGATAAAGATAAGATAATACACACAAAGAAAAAACGAAAATGTTTCGACACATTCTTTTTACAATATAAAAGGTTCAATTTACTTGCTTTGCAAGTTACGCTGTCATTTTGTCTGTTATTTATTTAAAACTTCCACATTGTTCTATGTCTTAAAATTATAGATTAAAGTTAATGACCTAAAACTGCAATAGTATATTCCAGTACAAGTGAAAACATTGACAGTTTCACCCACATGTGTGTCGGGGTTTGCGCAATGCTTATGGATCCCACAAAATTTTCATAAATATTATGGTGTCTTGGAATCACGAAAAAGATTTCTGTGATAAAAAGGGGTCACTGACTGAAAAAAGTTTAAGAAGCTCTGCACTAACGGATGGATGGCGACGTAACTGTGTACAGTTTTGCAAGATTTATCACATAAACTCTTATTGGAATAACACAGAAGGCTAAATAAGGATATTTAAAAATTAAATATATCATATTTTCAATATTGTGTTTCAATATTTTGCTTCGTTCTTCATTTCTGACTGAACAAGTCGATTGATTGGGGTTTTGTCTTCTTGTATGATTTGGATTATTTAATTAAGGAAAAGCACACGAGGGCAATCTGCTTAAGGAGAGGGATGCCTTTGTGGAGGACCTTTTTAAGTGAAACTGACTAGTATAACCGTTACATATGGGAAAAAACACAAACTACTAGTGTTCAGCGACTTTAATGCTCAGCGGCTGGTGAGCCCCTCCTCGTATGGAACTGTACCGTTGACTTCAATTGTAGTTATTTCTGGAGGTGCACAGATTAAAATAATAAGCACATTAACTGAAAAGACTGGAATCTACACATATACGGAAAGACAAGACTCTTTTCTGTTTTTTTAATTTATTCCATAGTTTATAAGAGGACAATGAAATTAATTGAATAGCAAAGGGGGACAAAAAAAAAAAAAAAAAAGATTTATAGTTTTGAATTTTGTATAGAAGATTTAGAAGACAAAATGCTTCTGGCTACTTTATATTTAAAAAAAAAAAAAAAAAATGTTTCTTGCTAAGAAATCTGGAAAAACATAGTTTCTGGGGGGGGGGAAGAAAAAAATGAAACCTCAATAAAGAGGAAACAATGAATGATATAAATTGTTTGATTTAAAGATTAGAAAAACTAAAATGAAAACATCAAGATAAATTAGACCAGGGATTGCAAACATGTTTATTGGTAAGAATTGAAATTAATAGAAGCATGTATATAACATTCGCGAAATTTAAAACCCTGAAGTCTGTAGAGTTAATTTATGAATCAAGTAAAAGAGAAAGTATAAAGTGACATTAAATCTTAACAAACTTAAAAAAAGTGTTTATATTGGAGGGATATCACGAGAAAACTTAACTATTAAATTTTATCTGACAGTTGATTTCTTGGTCACATTTAAAATAGTGTTAATTAGTATATAATATTCTGCACAGGTTCAAATAACTGTTTCTTGTAACAAAAATTTATTTGACTGATAAAAGATATCAGAATTTTAAAGACTTCTTTAATTAATCAATTACAATAATACATGAGGGCTATCTTTTTTAGGAAGGATGCTTTCATGGAGAACATACCAAAGCAAATGCCACGTATTCAAGTTACTCATGGAAAAAATCTGAAAACTGTATGCCGTCAACCCGTTTGGCACGAACTGTATCAGGACCAACTGCCTGTGTTACCTGTTCAGACAACTGTGAGCACAGATTTTAGCAATTCGTAAAACACAGTGCACATCACAATCTAAATAAGGTAATTAACCAAGAGTTTCCAGCTTGATATACTGTTAAAAGAAATACGAAACTTTTTTTTTTTTTTTTTAAATTTTTAAATATGATCTACTTTGATATAGATTTCACTTTGTTTAATGAGCTGATGTTGTTTAAGGATTTTGCTGTAATTTTTTCTCCTGAAAAAGTAATCTGACGGTCTGTCCTCATAACATTCAATTACCATTCTTTTTATGTCATCATCATCATTTTCTTATTTTGGAACCTTAATCTCCACTGTAAAGGTGCAGAAGAGATCAAGATCCATAAATCCATAGCTTGTTGTTTTTGAATAGCACTGACGCGTTGCTAGTTTTGAATTGCTGATACAAGTCAGAGAGCCCATCTTGCAGAGAGTCTGTTCAATTAGAATGTGCAAAAAAGTTGTTTTAGATACATCCAATCTTGATGCTGTCTTTTTTACATTTAATTTCCCATCACTCACTACTTCCTTCTAGACACAAACAGTATTTTCTGATGTAAAATATTGCATTTCTCTGGGATTTTCCTTGTTCCATTTCAAATCAAAAATTAAATCACAGCTTCAGGTTAAGCATGTGGGGCACCAGAATTGTTCCCTAGGGTTGTACAGGTAGAGTCCAGCACACGAACTTTCCATCTCCTACCCAGTTTTGAAGAATAACACGACAGTGGGTGGTCTGAGAGTCTTCTACTCCTCTTCTCTTACCACCTATATCCCAAGAGGACTTTCAGGAGCTATATCACAAGAGGACTTTTAGGAGCTTAGGACAAGTGGGGGGGGTTAAGGAAAAAAAAAAACTGAAGGCATTTTATATCATGCCCAAAGCAGCCTTTTTTTTAATGTTCTGTGTGTTATCTTTATTTATTAAATATCATGTTCTTCACATTTAAACCATGAAATTCAACAGCAGTATCACAAAATATTTAAAAAGAACATATCTTTAGAATTTCCTACACACAGTCTCACATGCTGGAGATGAAAATTCCCCCCCCCCCCCCATACAGTGTAGCCATTGCTCACTTTGAAATCATAGAGTCTGTTAATTAAAAATTCATTAAAGTTTTACAAAATATGAAATAAATAATAAAACAATTACAACTTCCAAATTTGGGCTTATAGATGCCCATATTCGAGTCGAGAACTATGTTATTCAAAATTGAATGTCTCCAGGTATCGTTATTTTTTCATAGTGGGAGAAACATACATACATACATACATTCATGCAGATTTTCTGTTATTTAATTTATTTAAATATAATGCAGGGCTCTAATATTTGGTGGTAACAATTTGAAAAGTGAAATGCGTTTATAGTGAACCAGTGCAATATGCCAAAACAAAGTTAATAGCTCTTCTGGGCAGAGTGTCCCTTTTGGAGTAAGGACAAAAAAAAAAGGAATGAAAAATTTAATAACAGTGTTTAATAATAATTGCAATTAAATCTTAATATCACTTAAAAACAGATTTAATATTCAGTTCGTTTAGTAAGTGTGACAATGTAAATCAGCTTTTTCTTAACTCATCATTTAATTTTTACTTTTTGCAAGATACCCATTTTACTATCTGATTGCATATAATGAATCACACTTCTGGTTTGTTAAAGATAGTTCATCATAGACCAGTTCAATTGCATCTGCTTTGTGCTTAAACTATGAAGAAAAGAAAAATATTTTGTAAATATTTCTACGAGTACAATAAACCCTTGCTGAATGCAGACTCGCGGAATGCAATTTAGCCTTTCCGCAATATCTTAATTGCCTCTATTTAATTCATCCAATGCAAGAATTTAAATTGTATGCAGTATACTACAAAGCGTTGCCTGCATTGCAATAGTTCTCTTTAATGAATGGTTTAAAATTCATTTATTTAAGAAGGTCAAACATTACCTAGAACAGCAAACCTTGAGCTTTAAATTTCTCCTATTTCTCTATAATACTTCAGGACATGGTATTGAAGCCTTTACAATATTGCATCCGGAGGCAGAGGTTTTATTCCTTCTGCTGAACGCCACTTCCTTAATCAAACCAATGGATCAAGCAATCATAAAAACATTCAAAGCGAATATATCCTGACAAACTATTATGAGAAATAAAGTACTAGATAAAGGACAGCATGACACATTTAACAGCATTTGGAAGCAATTCCAATATAAACCTCTGCACAGAAATGAGTGAACTCGCATGGGAATAAGTGAATCAATCAACATATGTATGCTTGCTAGCATCAGTGCTGGCCAGAAGTTGTCAACAATTGTAAAGGATTTCCATCAACTGAAAATGAAGTCAAGGAAATTGTACAAACTGCAAAAGCAATAAGTGGCAAAAGATTTTCAGAGATTGAAGAAGTAGAAATTAGAATCAGTAAAGAATCACAATCGTGAAATGAAAAATGAAGAATTTAATAATCTTATAACACCAGCCAATAGTGAAAGCATAGATAGTGAAGAAGATAAAGAGACTTAGAACATACTTAGAAGGAGTTACAATGAATTGTTAAAAAAGGCACACGAACTATCTGATTTTATAATGGAGATTGACTGAAATGAAGAACAAAGAGGATATTTTGTAAGAGGTATTGAAAAACTTTGCACTCCTTACTGTAAAATGTTTGATGAGTTGCATCAGACACAGTCTCCTGCGAAAATCACCAGCTATTTAAAAAATCTGTGTAATAAAAATCCTTTTAATTAACAGTTGTTTTACTTTTTTCTTATAATAATATTTAAGTTTGTATAAATTATATATACTTTCTTAATTGAAATTAAAACTTATTTGTTTCTTTTTTCTTCAGTTAGATAACTTTGTGGAACATAACTTTGCTGTACGTGCAATGTGTTAAGGACATGACCCCCCCATTCAACAAGGTTTACTTTTATTTGTTACATTTTTGTAAGAAGGGAATGTCTGTTTCAAAATCAACAATATTTTTGCTCATAAAAACATGGGTGGAGAAAAAATATAACAAAACATTCAAGACAAAGAAATAGGACAGACGAAAAGGATTTCTTTATTTTTGTTCACATTGATTAGAATGTAATACACGTACTACTCTTAAAATGTACAGATAATTTCTATACAGATCATGAAAAATGATCACATTTGGATGAATGAAAAATTAACATTTCAATCAATTCAACAAAAACATTCATCAAATATCTGATTTTTAAAAGGACAAAGAAAGTTCATGTCAGTTGACTATTGGTATGAACATAGTGACAAAAAATGAAGGGAAAAGGTATTTTACATTAAGAAATCAGCATGAACACATAACACATATAAAACAAAAAACATTAAAAACTAGTTAAGCTTTCCCCCTCACTAGCCAATTCTAAATCTATAAAAAATCACATTTAAAACAAGACATTCAGAACAGTTAGTTCAACTAGAAGAACCACAGTGGAAAATCAAACTAGGATTAAATCTCAAGTTTATTCCACACACATAAAAAAAATCACTTTATTCCCTTTAAAATTTAACACAGAGTACCCACTACTTTTTCAATTCAAATTCTAATACACCAGATTTTATGCCATGTATGCAAAAAACGTTTTTAATTGTTGTCCAATAAAATTCCCAAACAATGTGAATAATACAAGATTTACAGCAAAGCTTTCTTGCAAATTATGACAATGAACAAATGTTACTAACACACAGGTTCAAAATTAGTAAAACTAATGATAAAATTAGTAAACTTACACCACAATTAATGAAAAAATAAAAGGAATCATGAATCTGACATTTATTTATAACATCCTCCAGAGGAGCAAGGGACCCTAACCCAGCTAACAACCAAACGAAATTAAAAAACATAAGCCCTTAAGTAGGAACTAAAAATAGAGACAAAACATGCAAGTTTCTGAAATCAGATTTCATTTGTCTTGTCCCAGAACACGAGTTTTCCAAATTTTACCAAAATACACCAAAAAAATTATTACAGCATTGATTTTTTTTTTTTTTTTTTTTTTTAAACTTTTAAATACGAATCCAGATATTTAAACACCAATGACAGAGTGCTGGAAAGTTACAACATATGAACATTTAAATCTAAAGTGCAACATTGATATTCTATATGACAAAATAAAAGTTGAAGTTGAAACAGAGATCTGGATAATTTTTGAACATTTTTAAATGATAACTAAAAATAATTTATGCTTACACTAAACATTACAATAAAGCAAAAATTCTAAATAAAAATAATTTATAAGAAATTTATTATTTATTTATCATATTATTTATTTACAAAGTGAAGCTTTTCCAACACTTCATTTTTCAAGATTATAAAAGAAAAATACGATTATCTAATTTAAAGACAATCAACAAATTTCAAATCAATACAAAACACACAAAATCACAAATAAGCAAAAGATACACATATTCATTTCTTGATTTAAGACTGGGAAAATAGTAAAAACCCGAATAGTTAAAGAATTCATAAGCTAAAAACCATGTAAAAAGAGCAGCCTCGTAAGAAAATGAAATGCGCATCTTTTGCTAATGATCATAAACATTGCTTTTTCAAGCTAACTGACAATGTACTTAATATCACAGCTAAACAATAAATGCATATTATAATTGATAAACTGAACAAAGGTAACATGGTAATATTGCAAGAGTTTGTTAAGTTTTACATGCAATATAAATTAATGTGAAACCGACAAAATTTGTAACTATTGCTTAATCAATAACAGTAATTATCTTAAAATTATCTAAAATTACATAATCATCTAGTTTTAATGATAAATATTTCTTAAGTTAAAAAAAAATTTAAAATAAAAACAACTTGAGTGTAACAAAAGTGCAAGAAACATAACGGTGATATTTAAGTCTTATTTAAGTCTGGATATTAAGGAATACTTGAAGAGACTAATACTGAATGTTTTAAGTCTAATATTCTCTGAAATAAAACAGGATTTTTTGTTCTGAAGTCACACACTATTAAATGACACAATCATCAAAAGTTTAAATTAATTCCTTTTTAAAAGTAGATTCTTAAAAATTTCTTTACTTGAGAAATATAAGTAGACAGTAAAGTTTAAAAATACTGCTACAATTAATAGTTCTATCACTGAAATAGCTTACAAAAATGATGTTTGTTTAAAAAATTACTATCTCTTTCCAACTTCGACTTCAAAGTTGTAATTTTTAAAATCGACTGTACATGCCACGATTGGTCTAAAGGTTTTATATGCATGCTAGATGGTGTTGAAAAAATATCACACCTTATATTTTCATCTTTTTTCAAAAGTCGTCATTAATTACATCATTTACAAAGAATCGAGGAGTAAATAAATCTCCAGTAGTCATCTTTCAAAACCTGTATGATGTAGCAGTTTGAAAGTCTGAAATAGCATTTGCTCATACATCGTCATCTATTACCAAAAAGACCTGCTTGTAGATTTTATCCCTGAAAACAAAAAAAATGGAAAAACATTGTGCAATGGTAGAGCAGTCTATGAATGAAATCTCACTGCTTTCTCAGATGAACTGCTACCTATGCAAGCTGACACCATTGGGTGGGGGAGGATGTAGGGGCATGGTTGGCTTAAGCTGCAGTTCCACTACAATGGGAAAATGATCCGAAGGGACATGAGGATGTGGACAGCCTTGGATTCGGTTTTCTTCAAGCCAAGCAGAATCAATAGGTCCCAAGACACCAAGGACAGACATGTGCAACTTGGAGTAAAAGACATAGTCTATGACACCTTTGAAGTCGTACCTGGGAAAAAAAAAAAAAAAAAAAGGAATAAGAATATGTCATATTCAAACCTTTGGTTCTACCTAATTAACCCTCCCTTTGCTTGCTCATGATATGATTTTTTATACTTGCATAGGTGAAAATTCTGCTTTATTTAGTTGTTATTAAGACAATAAAAATTTCTTACAAACATTATTAAACCATTTAAATTTTATTCTACCGAACATACAGCAAAGAAAGTCAACTACTTCCTTTTTGGAATACGAATTGACAAGAATTAGCAACTGTAACAGGGAATAAAGAATTTGTGGGAAATTTTAAATTCCATTGCAGTACACCTCTGGATAATGTAAGCAATACTGTGACGTAAGTGGACGAAACCATATCCTCAAGCAGACACACAACAGTATTTCCACATTTAAAAGTTTGCAAGTTTTATTTAAAATGCAAACAATTACAACTTAGTCACTTTTGAAATACAGTAAAAGCCTGACTATCGACCATTTAGCTAACTAGAAATTTTGGTAATTTAAAAACTCCATACCCCACCCCCCAAAAAAAAGATACAAAAAGCACTTTTGCCAAAACACAGTGTTATTTGTGCCATTAATGGGTGAGCATGACTTTACAGCACAATCATAAAATCTTTATCTTTGTTTTATCAGAACCTCTATAAGAGGGAGCTGGCACACCATTTTTAGGCTAGAGATAAGCAACTCCTCCTTATTTCCATAAAATGTTTGAACTGGAGATGCTTTTCCATAAATTTTTGACTATACTTTTTGCTTAATATATTAACCAGAAAGAAACTTAACTTTTACGTAATATCTATTTAGGACAAGAAATTATTTTCAACTTTTTCAATAACTAAATTTGCACTCTTTAAAGTGGCTAGGACATCAGATTCTAACTACATCTACATCTATTTCTAAGCTCAATCTATTAACTGGCATGCACTGCATTGTGTGAAGCATTTGTAACAGACATATCTAAAATTGCTTAAAACTTTAAACTGCACTACAAACAGTTGTCAGACTTTCAGAAAGGTAACATTTTAGAGCTAAAAGAGGCTACAAACAGCAAGAATAAATTTACTAACTTTCATAGCTTGTACTTTGTTTAGTTATTAATATCCCTACTGAGACTGGTGACCCCAGAGTAGTGTATATATATATATATATAATTTAAAAAAAAAAATATTTTCACATTTGGAGCTACGACAGCGAGCGTGAAGGTCGCACTTTGGATAAGCTCTGTTACTTTGTTTCGAGTTGACCCAGTCCCGTAGGCAGTCAATGAATAAATAGTTACAATATAGTTACCTTTGAAATCCGGTTCTGCTTAATGACCACGTGCTTACTCAGAGCGATAGGCCTGATTGCTTATATATTGCTGGTTTGGTGATATTATTATGTGCTATAACTGCTTTTAGGTGGTTAGTATTATTGTCGAATAATTTACATTTAATTTGCGTGCGTGTTTTTAACTTGGATTTTGGTTGCATAGTTTGCTTAGTTACCCCCAAGCTCACACTGTCAGGCGTGAGTCGGGGGCCTAGTAAACTTCCGCCCGCCCATCTGTCTGCCGGGACACCTTCGAGTGGGCCCAGTTCCAGGGCACGGGACTCTGAAATGCTGTTCGGGCACTGGATTTTCTGGATATCGATTTGCGAACATGGATATGATTTTGGATGCTGTGAGGATACAAATTAAGGAGCTAGAAATTATCAGACAACAAAATGGTACTCTCACGGATACGGAGGGTAAGATGCATAATTTCTTGCTTAGTATGATGGATATGCTAGTTGCAGTTAATTCTCAGTTAATTAAGCCACAACAGGATAAGACTGAACAGTCAGATAACAAAACACAAAATCCACATGGATCTCGAGACAAAAATGATAGAGATAGGAATCCTATCAAATTATACGAAAATAATAAACATGAAATTTCACTTGATCAACCTAACTGTTCAGATGATGATTTGCCTAAAACTAGAGGTGATCAAACAATCCATAAACGAAATAAAAGAACTAACTTAAAGGTTATGACTGACTCCCCCAACGACTATAGAGCTATAGTCAAAATCCTCAAAGATAAGGAAGTTGAACACCACTCGTATACCCTACCTGAGGATAGATACTTAAAAGTTGTCCTAAGAGGTCTTTCGAACAAAACGGATATTGATGACATAAAATCAGACTTAGAAAGCTTAAAATATCAAGTTAAAGACATTAAGCAAATGACTAGACGACGAAATGGGGAAGTTAACAAGCTTCCATTATTCTTAATTTCTCTACCAAAAACAGAATCATCCAAATAAAATTTTTAATGAATGTTTCCTTTGTGATATGAAGATTAAATTTAAAGAGTATTTAGGAAGGCAAGGACCCCTGCAATGTTTTCGTTGTCAGGGGTTCAATCACACCCAAGCTGGGTGCAATTATGCCCCAAAATGTGTTAGATGTGGCAAAGAACATTATGTTAAAGACTGCCCTGACCAAAATAATAATGATAAGCCTTTATTTTGTGTGAATTGCAGAGGTTCTCACACCTCCAGTTTTAGGGGGTGTGAGAAGTTTCCCAAACGAAAACCTGAAAAAACTAATACATATCCTAGCCAAGTTGTTGAAAATAAATCATACACTCAGGCCTTATCTAAGTGTCTTTATTCTGATATTTTGAGTGAAGCAAAGCAGGTCTTCACTGATTTAGTGGAACTCGTTTCCGTAATCAAAAGTGCTGGGTTTCAGATTTCTCAACAAGTTAAGGAAATCAAACAAACCAGTCAGGAAATAGTTAAACCTTCCAATTCTGATAATGGGACAATTTACACCCTTAAGAGCCCCTATTAAAGTCATGAATTGGAACACTTGCAGCGTTCAGTATAAAATTTCAGAACTTATGGACTTTTTAGTGAATCATGACATTGACGTAGCCATGATAACTGAAACCTATGCTACGCCGAGTCTAAGACTGACTATCCCCAACTACAAATGTTACAGATGTGATCGTCTGAGTCACCGAGGTGGGGGGGGGTCGCCATTTATGTCAGGAACTCCCTACAGTCTCTGGCATTGATTACAATTGATCCTGAGCGTCACAATGGACATGAGCTGGTCACGGTATCAGTTCTACTTCCCTACTATGGCACGGTCTATTTTAACTCTCTGTACAACCCGCCATGGAATACGTTAGATATAAATTATATGGCCAAGATCTTAGATATAAACAAGCAAGTGATCCTTGCGGGGGATCTCAACGCTAAGAATTCAGAGTGGTGTTGCAGAAAAACGAATAAAAATGGACAGAAACTTCTGGAATTCATCAACAACTATCCGATTTATTTTTACTCGCCAAGCGAGTATACGTACCTACCACACAACCCAAGGAGAGGAGATATTTTAGACTTATTTATGTCAACTACATCATTTCCCTTCAATTTTGAGGTTCTACATGAGCTAAATTCCAACCACTGCCTGGTTATTGCTACCCTTGGTACCAGTAAGGACATCCAGGAGGATTTCATTAATACCACAGATTGGAAACTGTTCCATAATCTGCTTAATGACAACCCTACTAGCATACACAGACTGCAGACCATGCATGACAATGACACTGCTATCAACCAGCTGACTGCGGATATTCAAACTGCGTATAAAAACGCCACCAGGAAAATTCCTAGGCAGCAGATCGCTGATAGACTTCCGAGGCAGATTAGAGATCTGATCAAAGATAGGAACAAACTCAGAAAAAGGTTTCATATTACATGGGATCCAAATACCAAGAAGCAGCTCAATAGGCTTAATAAGGACATCAAGAAGCACATTACAAATTACCGTAAGGAGCTCTGGGACGAGAAAGTCGCTAGCTACAATGAGCCCAATAACGCGTTTTGGTCGTTTGTAAAGAGATTAAAGGGTAAACACACGGTTAACAAGCCAATCTGTGTGGAGCATCGTGTTGCTCTTAATAATAAAGATAAGACTACTATAACTTGCTGATCACTTTGAGAAGCAATTCTTCCCTAACATCACTCCTAGCAATCCAGAGTTTTGGACAAAGGTCAGCTCCTATGTCTCTGACTGGACTAGTGCTTCTCCTAAGCAAAATCATCTTGAGCTCACCTCGCCCCGAGAAATTTTGGATATCGTTAAGAAACTACGGAACAGGATAACATTAATAATTTCGCGCTCAAGTGTCTTCCCTTAAATATCATTTCTAGGTTCACGGGCATCCTAAACGCATGCCTCTATCACAGTTACCTTCCCGAGTCATGGAAAACTGCCAAAATGATTGTAATCCCGAAGCCGGGAAAAGACCAGACAAAACCTGAAGGGTCCAGGCCCATCAGCCTGCTTCCCAGTATGGGCAATATTTTAGAATGCATCATCCTCAGCAGGATACAGCCTTATCTTGATATACTTCCTATGGAGCAATTTGGTTTTAGGAAAGCCCTCTCCACCACCAAACAATTGGTACGGCTATATGAATTTATTGGCAGCGCGCTGCACAACAAGGGATGTGTTGCCTTACTCATGCTGGAGTGGCGAAAGCATTCGACAGCATCTGGCATGAGAGGCTTATTTACAAGCTTATAGAACTTAACTTCAGTAGAGAGCTGATTCAGATAATTAACTCTTTTCTTACGAATCGGACTTTCTTCGTGCACATGGGTAAAGACTCCTCTGACTACAAGAAAGTGATGGTCGGCGTCCTACAGGGGTAAATTTTAGGGCCCATCTTGTATTTGTTTTACGTGGCTGACTTGCCTACGAAAGCTTGGATCATAACTGTTTTATGGGCTGTTATGCGGATGATACGGCACTTGCTGTCAAGTCTGCATCACCTAATTTCGCAATCACTAAACTACAGAGTCTGATGCCGCACCTTGAGGTTGGTGCTCCAAATGGAGGATCACCATAAATGCCGAGAAATCTAAACTTATTATTATCAAGAAGAAGAGCATGAACATCCCACTTGCTAAGAAACTGTCATTATTTGGTTTTTAACAAGGCCACGTACCTCGGTGTCAAATATAGCTCCAACTTTCAGTGGAAAGAGTCTTATTTTTGTTACTTACATCTTATTTTTGTGTGTTTTTTCAGTATTAACCAATATAAAAATGAAACAAAGATCAAGACTGTTAAATGGAGAAGAAGATATGAGAGTAGCATTGTCATTTGTACGTCCAAATATAAATGAAATTATCAAACACATGAAGCTAAAAAAAAGTCTCATTAAAAGTATTATTATTAACTTTTAATGAATCCCTTAATAAGCGTACTGCTGTTTTTGTAGTATATATTATTTTATTTTACATTCAAAAGTATTATCATAAACTATTTTACACAGTGTATTATAGGTAAGTAAACAACTTTTAAACTTATCTTTTCCTTTGTGTGCTGCCAAATTTTTGAAATCGTTAAAAGTGTGCCGCGACAAAAAAAGGTCAAGAATCACTGGCTTAGAATATGATCTTCAATTTTAAATGGTAGTCTTTGTTGTATAACACTTGCACTTTTTGTATTTTATTTTTTATAAAGAGTACAAAATTTTCCTAAATTTAGCGCAAAGAACCAGAGGAACTTATAAAAAATTAGATGTTTTAAGTAGCTTGAAAACCATCTGAAAATGTTTAGCTATAAAACATGATGGCAAGGGAGAATAAGAGAGAGAGAAAGTAACCTGATAAACAATGTGGTTCTGACATAAGAGAGATCTATTTCAGATCAAAGATACTCAAGCCTCTTTGCTCAAAATAATCTTCTTGAAGGTCGAAAACTGTTTCAGTTCCCTTTGTACTACATGAGGAATTATGCTATTTTGTCTGATATTATTAAGATATGGATATATTATTATTATGGATATATATTATTATGATTAAAAAGATTTAAATGAGGAAGATATGCATTTTAAAATTCTATTTACTGCTGTTTGTAGCATTCATTTTACTAATTTACTAATGTTAGTACTCACATTAATGAGATAGATTAGCCTACCGATTCCTGCATAGCTACACCATGTGTAATATACTGTATACTAAGAAGTAATATACCATATACATGTGTAATATACCATATACTAAGAAGCCCCACAATCTTGGTGCTTTAAATTCTTGTTTCGTTCCTAAATTAGATTGGGGAACTCGTTGGTAGGGTAACTAGCATAAATTTCACAGTTTTGGGAGAAAATGCGAAAGATGATTGCAATGCGTCATTTCCAAACTCTGATTTTCAGCTATAGTTTGGTATATTATATGCAGTTAATCTGAATTTAAAATTTTATTTTTTAACCTCAAAAAAAAAAAAAAAAAAAAAAAAAAAAAAAAAAAAAAAAAAAATCTAAGAGGGCCATAAGGGCAGGCCTTGAAGGCCCCAGACTGCAAAATGGTACTCTAAAACTTATTTAAGTGGCTATTATTATGCGACTAGCAAGTACTAGACAAAACATAATCAAAATTATTAACATGTTTATATTATGTAAGAATAAATTCAAGAAAACTGTGCACTGATTACAGATTCTGGGGGGAAAAAAAAAAAAAACACTTACGAGTAATTTGTAAATGGCATGATGCCATCACTGTAAGCTCTTGATATTTGAAATGGATGGGTAAATTCATTAGTTTTTGATGAGTTACCAAGTTTACTTAAACAGTCCTTGTAAACAAATTCCTTGAAGTCACAATGAGATGTTGACACACGACCCGATGAAAGGTACTCAATAACACCTAAAAATATAAAATGTACATACAATACAAATACATCATTCTAATTCAAATTTCAATCACGTCATACAATATGTTTGTAGATCATTTGTAATGTCAAAAGTGTCACTTTATTACTTGAGGATAAAATTTTGCCTTTTACAAGACTAATGGACATATTAAAACAAGTATCATCCTTCTATATTTTAAATAATCTCATTCCATTGTAAATACAGTTATAAATAAAAGGGCACAACAACTGCAAGATATATCAATATGAAAATGTTTAAAAATGTTGGGATTTTTATTAGCCCTATAAAACTATATATATTAGCCCTGTAATACATGAAAACAGTGAAAATGATGCTACCAGATTTGAACCATCATTTACTTCCACTTCTGTTGCAAAAAGTGTCAGCTACAAATCATGTGTACAGCATTAGGTGCTAAAGTTGTACCATAGGACACTGTGAAGGTTTGGTACCAAAAGTTTGAAAACAAGCACTATTGACATTCAAGAAGCACAGCACTCTGGCCAGGCTACTGATGTTGACGAGGCCCACCTGTGAGAACTTGTGGAAGAAGATCAGTATGCAACCACTCAAGAACTTGCTAAGGAGTAAGGTGTTTGTGCCATGTCCATTACCTGCACTATGCATTACATAAACTTGATGTACAAGTTAAATTACTTGGTGCTGCATGAGCTGACTCAATCAGATAATTGCAAACGTGTTCGGGCTTGCACTAATCTGCTCAAATATCAACACAAGGACTGGAAATAATTCTGTACCGGTTTGTCACTTGTGATAAAAAATGGATTTACTTCAACAACGCAGGCCGAAAAGGGGTTAATCTGCGCCTGGTGATCCCGTTGGCAGCAGAGCAAATTGCAATTTGACTAACAAAAAAAATCATGCTTTGTATCTGGTGGAATTGCTGTGTATTATTCACAAAGAGTATCTGGAAAAAGGTAAAACACTTGACAATAAGATGTACAATGATATGCTAGTCTGTGTTGATGCTGCTATCAGGGAAAAATGTCAGACTGAGTTCTGGTGCAAAAAGGTAATGTTCCATCAAGATAATGCAAGATCACATGTGTCTGTTTTCACTGGCCGGACTCTGTAAGAACTCTAATGGGATCCCTTGCCACACCCAACATACAGCCCGACATCCCTCCTTCAAACTTCTACCTTTTTTCAGGAGCCCACCAGCAGGCCGAGCAGTAGTTCTGAACACTGGTAGTTTAGTCCAAGGTTCGAATCCTGCGAATAGGCTGGCTGCATGGGCCTTTTTGTGGTTTTTCCCATGTGTAATGTGTATATGAGCCAGTTTCCCTTAGAAAGTCCTCCATGAAGGCATCCCTTCCCTTAGGCAGATAGCCCTTGAGGCTTTACCATAATCACACACATACACACTACCATTTTTCACATCTGCAGCTACATGTTGCTGGTGCTATCTTCCACTGCACTGGACATCCAGAATGAGGTTGTTCTGTTCTTGGACTCGTGGCCACCAAGTCTCTAGGCCGAAGGCTATCAAAATGTTGGCAGAAAATCATATACTGCTGCCCATTAAAATTGCAACAACAGGGAAGGAATAATCTGACGAATGTCAAAATCACATGAAAGGAAGAAGTTGGGATATACAAATGATTAGCATTTTAGCACATTTAGACGACGCAGGAAGGAGAAATGACATCTGAAGTATTGCATAAAAGAAAAGATGTGTAGCAGATTTCTAATTCGGAAAGTGATTTGTAAGGTCAGGGTTTGCTTAGAATATCGTGTTATGACTTGAATAATAAGAAGAAATGCTTACCAGCAAATGTTGCAACTTAATAGAGGCAGAATCATTGCCTATTGAGAGAATGAATTATCTTTCTGTGATATTGCCCATCGCACTGCTCGACATCCAACCACTGTCATGCGAATATGGAATCAATAAGTTGCTGAGGGTCATAACTGAATGGCATGCAGAATTTCAACCCCCTCCCATGACCAACGCCCTAGAGGACAGACATATTGTGAAGTCAATCCTGTAAAACCATACAACCATATCTATGGACCATTAGTCAGGAAATGAGCATGTTTGCAGCAGGCCCAGTATCTGCTCGAATGGTGCGTCCACATTTGCAGCCGCTTGGACTATCAACACGATGACCATTACTTTGGCCTCCCCTTAAGAATGCAGCATAGAAAGAGACTGTGACTCTGGTGCACCAAATGACAAAGCTGGATACAGGAGTGGCACAACGTCGTCTTTTCAGAGGAGTGCTGGTTCTCTGTGCAGTATTCTTGAAGCCGTATACGTGTCTGGAGGCTATGAGGAGATCGCACATCGCCTGCTTGCATTCGATATTGGAATAGGGGCCCTACACCTGGTGTGATGGTTTGGCAGCTATTGGGTGCACAACACGCACAGCTCTAGTTCAGATCGATGGTAATTTGACTGCAGATCAGTACATTTCTGACATCTTACGTCCAGTGGTTGTACCCTATCTCCGTGGCCTACCAAACACCATCTTCCAACAAAGATGGAAGACCACATGTTGCAAGACAACATGTTACAAGTTGTGTTTTGATCTTTCTCGACATACAGGGTATTTGATTGCTGTCCTGGCCTGCATGGTCTCCAGATCTGTCACCCATTGAAAATATCTGGTTATGGGTTGTTGAAAGACTGCCCGCCACCCCTCTCCAGCTAATACAGTTGATGAAGTGTGGCATAGACTTGAAGCTGCATGGAATGAGTTGCCCGTTTCTGTCATTCAAGACTAGTTCGACTCCATGCCTAACAGGATGAGGGCCGTTTTAGCTGCCAGGGTGGCAGCTATTTCTACTAATTTTGACCCCCCCCCCGGTAAAGCCCCAAACTGCTTATAAATTTAATCATTTTGTCTTCATGCCATACTGTTTATGTACAATAAACATCTTTTTTGTATTTATTTTCCTTCATGGTGTTGTGATTTTAATGGTCAACAGTCTAAATTTGAGAGGTGATTACTACCCACACTAAAGGTACTGCTTTCATGTTTTCTTCCTAACTTTATTAAGAATGTTCTTGGCGGAAAACCTTCGTTACAACCAGATATACACTGAATGCATCTTAAAATTTAATAAAATTGGTAATTTGTCAGAAGAAGCCCTGAAATATAATATATGACAAAAAGTTACAATGTCGGTATGATCCAGAGATATAACTTACACTCAGAGGAAAACTGAGCTGCCCAATATCTGAGAGCCAATGAAAATTTTATTATGATTAAAGTCCGTTAAAGGGTGTGCAAATTTTAACAATGAACAATATGCAAATAACATTATTAAATTCTTCATCAAGGACCAAACAAGATTTCATACAGAAATTTATTTGATCAATACCTGCAAAAACTAAATCCATCATCAAAACAGTAATTGCCTTCTTCATTTCTTTTTCTTTTTTTTTTAAGTGTGTAGGTTCTGCATATTTCTTGAAACCCTAAAAAAGGCAATTTACTTTTCTCTACAACTGCTTCCAATGTTTGTAGACTCTCCTATTATTAAGCTTATCAAGAAATTTTCATCACTCCTCCTTTTGAAACCATAAAGTAAAAAAATTCCTATTGCGGCAGAATATTTGCATTCCGATGAGAATATTTGTATTTAAACATTTGCATGCAGTATCCATATTTGCTGCACTGTACCCATGTGCACTCATTATAATGCGAGTATAAAGACAAACTTTTTTGCCAAGAGACTTACTTGCACTTGTACTTCACTTGCTTGTTCGTGGTCGGCATTTGACATCGCCTAATCATCATGCGTTTAATTTCGTAGTTTTACTGTTTAATTTTATGGTTTACTAAAGCATTCAGTCTTCCTTTAAATGAACCTGCTGACAAGTTTGGAATATTGTGGCGTAAACAATCGGCACATCATCACACTAGAAGTAAACTCTTACATTCCTAACAAATTTATTATGATTTTTTTTTATGTAAATCACTGTTTACAAATAAACTGGATGCATTTAATAAGAAGATTCTTGAAGTCAAGTGTACCGATTCTGGAGTACAAGAACTGCTAGGACTATCCAAGACTTGCAGTGATCAAATGAGGTTTGTTTTTGAAAGTTTTACAGAAAACAGAAGATATACGATCGGGAGTCCACTTTCTCTCTTCCTCTGTCTCAAATGCAAGATTTTACAAATGTTTAAATTAGTGCTTCTAATTCTTCTGGCACATTATGATGATGACACATTTGCTGTTTGGGACAAGACTACTGACTTTCTTTTCTCCAATGGACATTTTACACAAAAACACGAAATACCTCTGTTCACTGTTGTCTTTCTGGAAATAATGGTTACAAAATCTTGTGACTAATCCCATATGAGTGTTGTTAGTAAGCTGCTTTTTTTTTTTCCCTTTTACATACTTACTTTGTTCATCCACAGAAACAAAAAGTGCGTCCTATAAACTTTGCTTATGCAATTTATTTATGTTCTCATCTGCTACTTTTTGAAAAGGAACTTCATATTCTGAAAGCCCAAGATTTACTGTTTCCTGCGATTATCCTTGAAACATCATCAACATCACATATACAATATGTTCCACACATTTATACAATACGTTCTAGACATTTATTACCTTCAAGTCAGTCTCCAAACTAAGGGCACATGAATTTCTTCCATCTGCCTGTTATCTATAAACGTTGGATTATTATTCTTGTTTATGCATGTTTATCAAAACATGCATAAACAACAACAATAATATCATAAAGTGAAAGTAAGTGAAATTTAAAATTAATTTTAAAATATTTTTTATTTTGTTTATAAAATGTTTCATTTTATTAAAAAAAAAAATCTGGCCCATCAGTTAGATTGTGCATTCAGCCTGTATGCAGTCTGAGCTTGAGACCACTGCTTTATGTAAGTTAAGTTTTCTGATTTCCTTTATACCTGTCAAAGTTCTCAGTTGTAAAATATGGAATCCTTTCATTAATATAGTATTTAAAAATTCTCTTTGAAAGCAATTTTACATATATATAAACATATGCAACAAATGAATAACTTTAATTAACATTAAATTTGAGAAATTATCTGTATGAAAACCAATTTAAAAAAAGGTACATTATGTGCATATTATATCATACCACAACCCATAACTACCAACTGCCAAGAGTAAAAAAAAGTAAAGGGCATTCATAATACCCATTTTTTACCTGAGTCTGGCAGTGAATTGAAATCTCCACATAGAAGCAAGGGAATTATATTAGGGTCCATCTTTTGTGAATCTGGAATATTACACTTCTGGAGGATATCATCAACAAATGTCTTCAATTCATGCATAAGCATCATAGTTTGAATTAATTTAACATCAGAATACTCGGGGTCCCAATGAATATGTGCTGTGCAGACTAATAATGTTTGGCTTGCTTGGGTTAACTCTGTTAACAGAAGTTAATTAGTGAACAAATTTAAATTACAAACATAAGTGAAACAAAAATAATGAATTAAAGAAATCTAATTATATAAAAGCATTTAACAAAACACAACAATTCAAGGTAAAGTTTATTACATTTTTTTTTTGAATGAAAAAGTTCTGACTTTATCTGACCCTCCTCAAGCTTAAATCAAAAATAATATGCACATATATTAAAATTTAATTTTGATACTTTTTAAAATTTTTACTTAAAATTTAATTTTGATTTTATATAATAATTAAAAATATAATATAAAATTCATACATACAAAAAATCAATCTAACTGAACTTTTATTCTTATAATTGCAGAAACTAGCTTAAAAAAAATTAAATTGATTTTTTTTTAATGTACCATTCTTTTTTTTCTTTCCTGCTTTTGCATGTAGGAAATAATTCAATTTTCACTTTTAGATACCATCAAACTTCAAACCAATGATATACACACCAATAGCACAATAGCTCTGCAAAATTCTACAATTTCTTTCTACCAAGTCATTTAAGATTTACATCATTTACACAAAGTCTATATGGCTTTTATGAGTATCTGTACAATTTGTGGGCATCACTCAAGAAGTTTAGGATTAGGATTTCAGTCATTTCCTAATGTGACTGATAATGCTTTGCAGCTTGAATTGCAGTGAAGTCACACTGTAACATTGAAAATTTTAAAACAAGGTTCCTAAAATTATTCAAAATTCTCTAGCTGTCAGGCAAGTAAGTGTTTGACAAGCACAATCAGTAGAAATGACTGTCATATGGAACTGTGCATTATCCTATTGAAATGTACGGTCAAGATATCTCAAAAGAAGATGTATACAACCATATAATATTGTTGATGCATTGCTGTGCTGTAAGGGCATAACGGACGACAACCAAAGAAATCTCATAGAAAATGAAATGGCATACCAGGCTGTAAGTCCTTGTTGTCAAGCTGCGTGACAATTGGTAGGTTAGGTCGTTATCCAATATCAATCCTGAATATCTCCACACATCACTAGTCATTATGCCTCAGTCTGAAGTAGAGCTGAAGACACATCTGCTCTAGTTAGTAAACTTCCAGGTCAAATGAGCCCACAACCACTTGTCAGTACGGACAGGTTGAGAGGCAGATGACATAATGAATGTAGACCCCATTCCTTAACTTGTGGCTTCTGTGACCATTGCTGCGTTGATTACACATTGTATGATGGATAGTCATATACTATGTTATACAAGATGAATTCTGATGCCTGCTCTGTTTTCACACTTTAGGGTCTCCTTAGACAGTTCACTTCATTCTTGATATTATACTCTACCATGATTCAACATCATCAAGTGGTGGCATCTCTCTGATCCAAATGTCAAGCAATCCTTTCATTTGACCACCCTGTTTCAATAAGGTAACTTGAAAATCCTTTCTCAACTGCTGACATATGCCCATACTGTGTAAAATTCTGCTTGTGAGGTACTGATATAGTCAGAGTAGAATCAAATCTGAATGGAAGTTAATTGGAATTTTCCTTCTTTCATACACCTCCAGATGTTCTGCAGCTATTTATACACTGGTTGCCAGAATTTAATTATCTGCAGGTTGGATTGAAAAATATTCACATGAAAGCAAATACTACTGCAAATTTGCCAGATTTATGTTTTAAAACTACTTGTCATGCTAAAAGAAACCTATTTTACATGTAATCTATTAAAATGGCAACAGATTTAAACAAACATTTTTAATCACCGCAGAGAACCATGTGATATACCAACAACTCAAATGATGCACCAGAAAGTACTTTTTGTTTGTTTGTTTATTTTGAGAGGAAGTATTTAAGCATGTTGAAATAATTCTCACTAAGCATCTTGCAGAAAATTAAAGTTCATAATATTAAAACAGTATAATTAATTGACTTAATGTCAATCATTTGAAACGTTGCTAATTAAAAATATTGTACCTTCTTGGATAATTCTAGTTTTATATTTGAAACCTCAATCTTTAGACAAATGACACAAAGATAATTACTTAAACATCCTATTAGTAACTGCAACAGAGAGAAATGTGCTACTTGCATAACATTTAATGACATGCATTTAACAGCTTACCATTTTGATATGCTCCCCTTTTAGTTTGAAGAAGAGCAGCTAAACCTATATTATCTTTTGTCATAACTCTATTCAGCATATCATCTGAACCTTCTGCATTTGCCATTGCGAGCTGATTGAATTCCACCAGATGTTCCTTGAGCAAAATAAATCTGAAAAGCATATACATTAAATTATTAATAACACCTTCAGTAACAAAGATCTGTTAAATTCTGTATTTTTAACATATTTATGGCCTGTACCATTACAGATGCAAAGAGTTTATATATTTCAGGAAACTAAGATTTAATGCAAATATTTCATACTCTTTTACACAGTGTAAAGATTAACTAATATGTCAACAATTTAGTTCTGATTGCTATCACATTTAAATTTCATTGCACTAAAATTTTGTAATTATTTTATTTAGAATGAGGCCTGCATTGGATCAGTCAATTTAGGGAACTTGATTTAGTCATCTGGAAAGTTCAGCATTTTTTAATGATGATATACTAGTGAAGAGTTACAAAAACAAGAAAATTTCATTGAATAATATAAGCATCATTTTACGCTACAGATTTCTGCCCTTTCTCCAGCAGCTGGAAAAAAATCTTTAAAAAAAAAAAAAAAAAAAGTGAAGATGCTGATTGACATTGTCCAAAGAAATGAACTCCAGGCATTTAAAAAAATTTAAACTGAAATAGAGAGATGAAAATCCAAGGGGGCTAGATCTGGTAAATATGAGAGCTTACACAAAACACCTCAGCCAAACTTGGTAAGTCTTTGCCTGACGTTCATCAATATGTGGAGCCAAGCATTAGCATGAAGGATGACACCCCCTTGTTGAATACACAGTTCCAGGAATTTTACTTCAGTTTTTAATTTTAGAACTGCCATTTGAAAACAGCATATTAAAAAATTTATTGTATAATTCAGTGGCAACAATTGATAATATACAATTCTTTCATAGTCCCATCACACAAAAAGCACTACTTTTTTGGGATGCAGTCCCCTCGATGTTACTAAAGCAGGGCTTCATCATTAAACCCCATGGTTTTCCCCCTCCTTGCAACATTGTTGCATAATATTTAGAAATTGATTACTAAATTAATTGCTAACTTGGCATCTATAAAGAATTAATTATTTACCTTTACATTTGAGCCAAATTAGACAGATGCGTGCCATAGGTGAATATTGCTTACTGATAATAATCCAGTAAAGGATTCATAATTTAGGATGCAGTGATTTGGTTGAAACACTAATCTGAAATTTCTGTCTTAAGAGGGCTTTGATAGCATCTTGTTCAGAAAGGCTCAGCTTGCTTCATGTTTTTTTAAATACAATTTTTATGTTAGTTTTTAGTTCAAAACTTTATATTTATATACCCCTTTTTGAAATTCCTACTATTAGCTCACACTCTCCTATACTTTTGAATTTTCAGTGTTAATAAAATATTTTAATCACCACTCAAGTTCAAATACAAATTTTTCAACTTGTAGTGGAATGAACACTGCATGTTAATACAATTTTTTTACCTACTAAAGTCGATTCCTACTTAGTTTATTCCTTTTTATCAGACTAAAGATACTGTTTTTTTATTAAAATATTAAGACTTACATATACTGACCATTTATTAGGAGTTTTCTTGCTGTAAAAATTAATTTTATCAACTATAATAATATACATGACTTAATAAATGGATCGTTATTTAACAAAAATAAGTGGCCTGTAAGACAGAGTCTAAAGATTTTTTAAGTGTATGAATAAAGAATTGTCTTTATAGAGGTGGATGCAGCGGTGTAAGGCCCATTAATGTAGCAAAAATTCCCCATTTCTGCTAATGTGATAATAATAAATGCTCAAATATACCCTTTAATGACCCTGCTTCACAACTGGAGAATGCAAAAAGAAAACAACCACGCAAGCCCTTAGAGAAAAACATAGCACCAAGAAAAGCTTCTACGCCTTTGCAGCAGGTCAAGCATTGGCGCCTTGAGTTGTGTGAAATCATTGTGAGTATTATGAAGAAAGACGAAACTCCTGGAAAGGCTCATTACAATAACAGTATTAGAAGAGATAGAAAGAAATTAACCACCATCATTAAAAGAAATAAAAAAAAGTAACATAAATGTTTTTCATAAGTAGAAATATATATTATTATTAATTTTTTTAGCCAAAAATGCTGGTAAATTACGGAAAAAAACTGACAGCTCATAAAATAAGAGAAATGATTCTTGATCAATTTATTAACATATTATTCTAAAAAGATCCTCTTTTTATAATTTTTCTTTTTGTTTTTAAAATAATTATGACAGCCTACTAATTTATGGAGCAGGTGCCAAAATTGACATGCAGTCCCCTGTCTAAAGAGGGAGTAGTTTACACATTTTAGATGATTTTGATAGTAAAAAATGTAATAAATTTCTGGCAACCTACACTCATAAGCTTCTTTTATTTATTCTTCAACTGTTATTGCCAGTGCGAGAATATCTTGCGCTTTCGAGAAAAATTCCTATTCCATAATTAAAAATGTTGTGAATCCAGAAGCTATCTTTTTCCATGGAAAGAAGATTCCAATGAATATTCAAATACGTACATTTCTAAAGTTATGATCCACCGGTCAAACCAACTTATCCATATATCGCAGCCGTAAATAAAATCAAAACATTTAAAACTGAAAGCTGAAAACGCACCACTTTTTGAGGCATCAAACCACCACAAAAGTCTGCATTATTATTCGCAATAAATGGAATACATTGCGACTCTCAATGTTGCATTTAAATTAAGAAATTTTTTATATGTAAAAATTATGTCTAAATGAGTGTAGCGATCAAATGTAAGAAGGTTTCAGTATAACAAGTTTATGACTGTCACAAGATTCTCTTATAATAGGAAATTAAAAATAAGAAGAGTTGAAAAAAGTGTGAAAATCAACTCAATGTATTCACATGAGAAAGTTTTACAACAGATATTTAATGAAGAAATTCCACTTTTTATCCCAATGATTTCCAAAGACCAAAACTTGATCAAGACAAAACAACAAGTAACACTTTGAATAGTACCACTGCATTCCTTGAAAAAGTGGAGACTAATACAGGTATTGCATATACACCTTTTCAAAGCATTCCTGCAAAGTTCTCTCACATTTAACGTATCAGATATTGTGCCTCTGGTCTCTGGGAAAGAGTTCTTTCTAAGTGCACCAAGATTAACAAACTCTGGAAAGTAGTGGAAGAGGAACGTATATCTCTGGAAATTTTAGAAAGAACCCCTTTACCATGGAAATTTTATGACAAACTTACAGTCTAAAAAAAAAAAAAAAAAAAAAAAAAAAAAAAAGCTATCAAATCAAACATTTAAAAAATTCTTTACATTTTAAACATTAATTAAATTGCGTCCAAATTCAAAAATCGTTCTAAAAATGTCTAAGTGAAATATAAAAATTGAGCTTTGGAATTAATGTGCATGATATTATTTATCACTATGAATACTTACTTTATTTAAAAAAGCTTTGTTATATTTAGGTATTAAAGTTTGGAACAAGTCTCTTACTGATACATTTATTTTTTAATTGTTCACTTCAAAATTATTATAAGCATTGAAATGACAAAAGGAAATGAAGGGACAGGGAAAAATAAATAATTTTAGGAGGCAACAAAGCATTTTAACACAGCTTAATGGCTATTTATAAGAAACAAAACAAACAAACAAGAAAAAAAACTTACTTGTTGCTTTTATAGAAGATAGCATATCCATCAACATGTTTCCTCTCACATTCTGACATAGTTTTTGCCCTTGATTTTGGTGAAAAAATTCCATCATAGCCTTCCTTTTTTAGTTCTGGTAAAAAGTACTTATAAAAATGCTCTGTCTCTACCTCCTAAAAAATTTTAATTGATTGATCATCTTTTGAAGCATATGCAAAATATAAATTACATTATATCTTCCTCAATAGAAAAATTACATAAAAACAAAATACAGGAAATATAAATTACAGTAATAGAATGAATGTACTTCAGAGATATTTTTTAATCAAGAACAAAAGTTATGCGTAAATAAAACAGTTTACATTTACTTGAAATCTTCTTCATAATTCTGCTGTGCAATTTATATACATTCTTAAAAATCTTTTGAATTTATAAGCAGTAATTAATTAGTTTCATACATTGTTTAAATTTTAACAAGTTGATTGCCATGGCGAAATGGGTTAAAATAATCTATTGGGATATTTTTTAATTCTAGTGTTTTCGGGTCCCATTTATCCTAAAAATCGATCCTAGTCACAAATCTGATTATACTTTTATGAATATTTAATGAATAGATAAATAAATAATAATAACTAGATTGCAACTTAATTCATCATAAAGTAACACAAGAGTTCACTGCTTTGATAGTAAAAACATAATAAAATTAAACAATTTAAATAGAATTTCCGATATATATTTACTAATATGTAAAGATCTACAAAGCAAAGTATGTTTCAAAGTCCATTAAACAAAAAGGGGAATGCTGCAAACAATGTAAGTTGGAATCTGAAAAAAAGTGGAATTGCTGCAAAAATGCTGCAAAAAAATGTAAATAAAGGCATATCCTCCATTTCTTAACCATCACTTCGAAATATGTTTCAATTCCGCGTCGCGCAATGATTGGAAGTTGATCTGTCAGAACTATCCTTATCTTCAGAGCAGATGTTATTTATTGGCTTTAATTCCTACTCAATAGATTTCATATCGATGTACTGGTCTTTGCTTAATTAAATCAAAATCCTCATCATTATAATTCGCTTCCAATAGTGAGGAAATGACACAGATGTTATGAAAACGAAAAAATTTTGATTGACAAATTAGTCGGTATTCTCGAAACAGCAATATAGGACTTGAAACAGCAGAATTTGAATGAAGAAGAAATATGTCTGTTATAGAATTAAACAGAAAGTATATCACATAAAATTGAAGCAACTTAACAACTTACATTGAAAGAAATGTTTAATAAAGTAAACAAATAAAACAGTCAAAAGTCGTTAATCCGGACTCGTCGGGACTTCGGCGATTCCGGATTATCGATTTTTCCGGATTATAGATCATCAGTTTAAATCTCGTAAGATGGCATGCAGAAATTCTAAAATTAAAAATATGAAACCGTAATTTATGAAATAAAGAACAATTATGATCTAAAGGGGTATCAAAATTTAAAAACAAAAAAAAAAAAAAAAAAGAGCTTAACATTTATTTGTTTACTTTATTAAACATTTCTTTCAATGTAAGTTGTTTAAGTTGCTTCATTTTATGTGATGATACTTTCTCTTTAATTCTATAAACAGACATAATTTCTTGTTCAGTTACAAAGTCCTGCTGTTCAAGTCGAAATAATAAGCGTTAATTGCTCTGCCGAGAATACCGACTAACTTGTCAATCGAAATTTTTTCGTTTTCACTAACCTCTCTGTCACATTCTTCATTTTTTGCCTTTATCCATTTTTTGCAGGAATTCCACTTTTTGTTTGTTGGACATCGAAACATACTTTCTTTTGTTTTGTAGATCCTTTGGAAGTTCCAGCATCGGAAATTCTATTTGACATAATCGAAAGTTCAAGTTTACTTTTATAAAATTGCTCTTACAGTCTGCAAAAAATAATAAGCGGGATCCAATTCGAAGATTAAGGAACAACGCAATCATTAACATTAACTGATAATTAGATAATTTTAGCTTACACCGTCCGTTATACATTAAACGCGCAGGCGAAAACGTATTCTGCACTTGCGCACACGCATATGCGCAGTAGTCAAGGTCTTACGCGCACGCGTAAAACGCCTGTGCGCATGTGCCAACGCGGCGCATGCGCAGAAAGTTTTTAGCTTTGAGGTCCGGATTATGGGTGTCCGAATTAACGACTTTTGATGTATTAAGTTTTTTTTTTTTTTTTGTAAATTTTGAACCTTTAGATATAATTGTTCTTTATTTCAAATTACGGTTTCATTTTTAATTTTATAATTCTGCATGCCATCTCACCAGATTTAAACTGATGATCTATAATCCGGAATCGCCGAAGTCCTGACGAGTCCGAATTAACGACTTTTGACTGTATAACCAAAAAATGAATAACTTAAGCTGGAAACCAAAAATATGAAACTTTTTGATGCAATAAGAAATAATTTTAACCATATAAATCAGTGTCTTTTTGAAGCACCAGTGACTCACACGGCTTCAAAAATACAAAACTTGTGAATCATATTTGGTGCACATAGTCTGAAAAGTAAGACTGCTGTGAATCATCAATGATGCACATGGAAGTTAAGGTGTTAATGGAGTTATTGTGAGTAACAGCACAGTAATATTCAAAATACATTTATAAATACTGCTATAAATATCTATTTTTAAAAAAACAATTTCAGGTTAACTTGGAGTGGGCAAACATTACTAATCACTGTGAAAAGCCATTACATTCATGCATTTTAGAGTTTTTTTATTCTGTTTTAAACAAGTATAGATTATTATTACTATTATGTAAAAAAGTATTAAAATAAAATCCTTTTGTGGTCACAGAGGGTGTGTTAATCATAAAAAAACATAGACTACCTTGATAAAAATGTAGGAAATAAAATTTTAATGCCATTAAGAATAAAGTTATCACCAATTAATAAATAACTTTTCCTTTGATAATTTTAATTATATTTGCAAAGAAAATAATTCATTTTATCTTTTATATTCCTGATACAAAATATTACTTATTTTTCTAAGAAAATAAATTATAAATTTTATGGCCAAGTTAACCATATTTTTACGATCTTTATATTTAATGAGACCAAATGTGTTTCTTTAGGGAGTTTTGTTCATTTAAAACCTGTACTGCCAAAATACTCCTTTTCATTATTTTGTTCTAAAAATATAAAAACTACAGCAAATTATTGTATATAATCTTTTATATAATTATGTTCTACAGTTGTCTATGATGTGAATACATGTGTCCATGACTGAATTCAAATGGTTAGAACAAGAGGTCACTTCAGCCTTTCTAGTTGGGTCTCTGCATGTCCAGTACATGATTCTGGAGACATATTTCTGTAAGGCTGATAAACAGTGTGTATTTGCTGTCTACTAAATGAGAACTGGGAGTGACTACTAAATGAGAACTCTTAGTGCAAAAAAAGTGTTTTGGCACAGGTTATAAGGGTAGATACTTTCAAAAGAAAATTTATTAACTGTTGAGTTGTTCATGTTTAATTTTAAATCATTATTACTTCTTCAATCTTATCTGACATTTATTCACTTTACATTATTCTTTTATTAATTAAATATAATTTTTTTAAGAATACAGTGCAGCTGGTACAAAGAAGCATTATAAACCTTTAAATGAAAATTTAAGAAGGCACCTTTCCATTTATTATAAACAATAAGTATAAAGAAAATGATGATTCTATGGTTACATGTATATTCTGCAGTGAAGAATTTTCTGTTGCAAATGATGGAACAATAACAATACACATTGATTTTAAAATACATAAAACATCTTTTGATGCAGCACTTCAACATTCAAAGTAACAACAATGTTAATTTTTTTTTTTTTTTTAACTGACAGTCTTGGATGAAAGGGGGGGGGAAACAATTAGAACACTTTCAAGTTTCATACAATTATTATATCAGAGTTTTAGAAGAATGGCACAACCAAATTATTAAAAAAAAAAAAAAAAGTTCTTGAGTGAGAATTAAATACGAGTTAATAACTGGAATGTTTAATTAACATTGCAAGAAAATACTATTAGATGATTTGAGATTTGTATCTGTTCTATCTCAGCCTTTCATCTCTTGATTTCCATCACTTGGGTCGATAAAATGAGTACAGTCAAAAGTCGTTAATTCGGACACCCATAATCCGGAATGATCTATAATCCAGACTTCAAAGCTAAAAACTTTCTGCGCATGCGCCGCGTTGGCACATGCGCACAGGCGTTTTACGCGTGCGCGTAAGACCTTGACTACTGCGCACATGCGTGTGCGCAAGTGCAGAATAAATTTTCGCCTGCGCGTTTAATGTATAACGGACGGTGTAAGCTAAAATTATCTAATTATCTATCTCAGTTAATATTAATGATTGTGTTGTTCCTTAATCTTCGAATTGGATCCCGCTTATTATTTTTGCAGACTGTAAGAGCAATCTTATAAAAGTAAACTTGAACTTTCGATTATGTCAAATAGAATTTCCAATGCTGGAACTTCCAAAGGATCTACACGATGTCCAACAAACAAAAAGTGGAATTGCTGCAAAAAATGGATAGACATGAAGAATGTGACAGAGAGGTTAGTGAAAAAGAAAAAATTTCGATTGGCAAGTTAGTTGGTATTCTCGGCACAGCAATTAACGGGACTTGAACAGCGGAACTTTGTAACTGAACAAGAAATTATGTCTGTTCATAGAATTAAGAGAAAAGTATTATCACATAAAACGAAGCAACTTAAACAACTTACATTGAAAGAAATGTTTAATAAAGTAAACAAATAAACAAATAAATATTAAGCTTTTTTTTTGTAAATTTTGATACCCTTTAGATCATAATTGTTCTTTATTTCATAAATTACGGTTTCATATTTTTAATTTTAGAATTTCTGCATGCCATCTTACAGATTTAAACTGATGATCTATAATCCGGAAAAATCGATAATCCGGAATCGCCGAAGTCCCGACGAGTCCGGATTAATGACTTTTGACTGTACCAAGTTCGCTTGGAGACTAAACACTGGGGATCCTGAGACAAGTTGACCACTTGTTCAGTGCATATGCCTTACGCACCCCGGGGCCCACGGTCAAGAAAGCAGATTTTGGGCACTGCAAGCCTTGGCCCATTAGGGCTGTTATGCCACTGAGTTTAGTTTTAGGGTACCTGTTCTATCAGACAATTCAAACTGCAAGGAAATATTATTATACCGAATTTTAGTATGCTACTTTGATATTAAAAATGGCATTCATCTCAGCATTTTAAATTTACTGTTTATTGAAGCAGAAACTGAGGAAATTTTATCAAATCCTTTGTATGGTGTTACAACGGAAAACAATTTGAATTTTTTTAGCACTGTCGGCAGATAATACCAATATGCATTCTGGTGGACATAACTGAAGTGTCAGTAATGTACATTACCAAATTTAAAAGACCTACCGAAAAGAAATATTTTGGGAATAAGTTGAAATGCACACATTTTAGCAAATGCCATTAATACAGCTTTTATTACATGCTGATTGAAGTGGAAGTTATAATTACTAATATATATTTATATTCTATTCGCTTCACAGTTTGACTGGCAAAAAACAGTAAAACAGACATCATGCTAGATTAAACAGAAAACATTCTGCACCAAAATTTATAAAGCTTTTCATACACGAATTTTCCAACTTAAATCACATTACAAAGTTTATTGCAAAATAATTTTGACCACAACATTCATCATTAATTTTCCTAAAATATCACATTAAACTGTACAGAGTTGTGGAAATTACTTTGAGTAATTGATAGATGGTGCCTTCTGAATTTCCATAGACTAAACCGGCAGCTCGACAGATGTATGCTTCGCACACTTTAGGAACACTTCGGTTCCTATTTAAAAGATTTCGATTATGAAAGCATATAGATTTGTTTGTCAACTGAACCACCATGTTTTGATTGATGATCTGTAAATATTGTACATATTAAAAGTTACATTTTAAAAGTGATTGATGTCGATTTATAGCAATCTTAAGAATATTTTGAAACAAGAGTAAAACCCAAAGTAACCAGCATTCAACTAATCAGAAAGCTCAAGTAATCGAAATATTATTTATATTTTATTTGGGCTTAGTTTTAAATTACAGATAAAGGCATACATTTTTAACTAAGATAACTGGATAATATCTCTTAAAAAAACTTCAAACAAAATAACAATTTCAGGAATTCAGAATTAAAGGAGGAAAAAATTAAAACCACCAATTCAATAAATTATACATTCAAACAAATTGAGTCATTTTAATTTTCAATTGCATTTTCAAATATATTTCAGAACACAGTAAATGTCAGGTAACCTAAAGTTCTTATTTATAAAGCTGATTTATTCAAAGGAATTATTTAAACATCTTTACCTGTAGGGATATTATATCAGCTTTGTAATGTAAAATTTCTTGGAGTATATGAGTCTTCCTATAGGTCCAATCTAAAGCCCAATTTGGGCAATATCCATACATCTGACGGGTAGCATATTTATCACAGAGAATATTGTAGCACATGACTGTGAATACACCTAAAATATAAACAATATGATAATTAATCATATTAATTTTCTTAATTATTCGAAAATTATAAAAAAAAGTACAATTCTAAAAACATTACGAATTTAAAAATTAATTTACCATCAGCAATGAGGAATGTCTGAGAATCAAGATTTAAAGTAAAAAAAAATTTCATAAAAATACATTTCATATTAGCAATATAGAATCCACAATTTTATCTCGAAGATTTCTCTGAAATCTTCTATATTGCTAATATAAATAAATAATAATAAATTGTGATAAGTATTATGCAAATTGTGCAATGTATGAGTTATCTTTACCCCTTGGTTTTCATACCATTAAACAAATAGAGGGGCTGGGTGAAAAATATGTGAGTATATAATGTTATATGTCTTACATACCAGGGGTCTCAACCAGAGGAAGAATTTCAGTGTTGGGGGGGGGAATGCAGAGAGCCTTTTATTTATCTGCTCAGTATTTAGTTTTTGTTTATGAATGTAAAAACTATTCTTCTTCATGTTTTGGTATTTATCAATATTTTTTCTACAGTTTCTTTTGTTTATTTATAAAACATGTTGAAAAATCATCTAAATCTAGATAAACGTAAATATTTATTTTTTGAGTTTTGGAAAGAATCAATAATAAAAGGTGTGCATGGAGCAAAAATGGTTGAGAACCCTTATATATTATACACAGTCCAAATCCGGACCTCTAGACCAGTGGTGTCCAAGTGGTTTTGCTTTAAGGTCTACTTAAAAATTTCTGCTATGCCTCGCAGGCAGGTGAATAACAGCTTTATATCAATCCTCAGTTTATTTTGATAATCAATATAAACTCACTGTACAACTTTACTATTAATTCGTAAGTCACTGATATAACCAGTGGCCTTGATGGTCATCTTTGATTTATTTCAACATCTGATCTTCTTAATCCAAATGATAATTTTTAGGAGAATTCATTTATTTTCATTTTTACATCCTATCTTATTAATTCAAATGATAATTTTTGGGAGAATTTGCAACATTTCAATGAATAAAAAATATTTCCAACTCCATATAACATGATCTTTGTACAAATCACTGATATTAATTTTATAATTTTAAAAATGATGTGTATATATATATATATATAATGCAGTATTTCTCAAAACTGTGGTCTAAGATCACAAATGGTCACTGAAGCCTGCCTTGTGGTCCATACTAGATTAGCAAAAATGTCCTGATATTTGTAAATGAAATCAAAATCAAAAAAAAAAAAAAAAAAAAAAAAAAAAAAAAAAAAATTCATATAATTTTTACCTAAGGGCATACCTAAGGGCATACACTGGCAAATCTTTCAGATGTATTCTCAAAACTAAATCTCTGTCTGCAAGATAATTCTTTGACTGTCTTCAGTGCCCACTAGAAATAACAAAGTTTGAGAGGAACTTGGTTTGTGAGTTAAATGTGCAAAACAGATATGTTTCGCCATTTCCAGCCTTAAAATTCTTTTTTAATAGAAAATGATATCGTTATTGGAGAAGAAATCTGCAATGACATACATTTGTATATCAAAAATCTGAAGTCAGAGTGCAAAAGTTATTTTCCAAGCGGTGGATGGATTCTTGATTCTTCCTGCTTCAATTTTTAAAATAAATTTTCGCTGAATGAAACAGAAGAGTAACTCAACTCTCTAATGATACCGGACTTAAAATGAAATTCTAAGGTACAGTTAATTACTGGACCTTACCAGTAAAAACTGGATGTAGTGAACTGTAAGACACAATAACATACTTTATACAATAGTGTTTTAAAAATTATAATTCAGTTTGCTTTTACATATCTGAGTAAAAAACAGTTTTAAACACTAATTCAAATAAAAAAAATATACCAAAATCAACTTGTATGTGCCGAAGTCATACTTAAATTTACTAGCACACATCCAAGCACAAAACAGCTGTGCAAGAATTGGTAGGATCATCCATGTTATTAATGTGAGGACCAACATTTGTTGAATTTTTACTTGATACGGTAATGATTATCCAGACTTTGATAGTCTTGAATTATAAAAACAAATATAACTTTTCTTCCATTAACTTAATTGATCAACATCAATGAAATTAAATAAATGTTAATGAACTACATTTTGAAAATATGAATACACTGGCAGCAAATATGCTCAAAACTTTCTTTCAAAGGGAACAAGTAAAGAGTTTCGAAGATTAAGGAGGTCTATAGAACATTATAATTCATAAAAGGAAACTCAAACTCAAACTTTTTTCAAATGGAATAACATATATTCCATTTGAAAAAGTTTGAGAAACACTGGCCTATTTAATATAATTTAAATAGGCTTAATTTTTAATATATTGAACTGATAATTTTTACAGATATTTACAGTATTACTGTATTTCATAAAAGATGCTTCTAATGCCTAAGTTGCATATTTCAGAGCAGAATTTTTTATTATTTTTATTGCAAATGTTACTTTTTTTTTTTTTTTTTTAAATTTTTACTCCACTTAAAAAAATAATAATAATAATAATAATAATAATAAAACTTTAGCTCTTTTTGTTAGGAAAAGAGTGCTCGTTATGGCTAATGTAATCATTCATTCAGCAGACAAAGAACAGAAAGCCCACAGGCCTATGCAACAGCTTTCTGCACAGAAGTTTATAGGTTACATATATATACGCCACATAAAATGTCATATATTTTTTATAAATTCATTAATAGCTTTTCCAAAATATGTTCACCACTGTATTTGCCTCTTTTATATTATTTCAAAGAAGGAAAAGACACACAAAGAAATTAACAGCAAACCAAAATTTTACTTCATGTAGAAAAAAGTTATTTAGATAACAACAGCTCCACAGATGTATACATTGCTACTGATTGACTATCCTTTTACAGAATTCCATAGAATTCTGAAAATCTGCACACCTCATCCCACAACCAAAGGTAGTGCAGATTAATGATTTTGAAGATCACAGATCAAGTCTTTCTGAATTGTGTTTACATTTTCCCCTATCTAATTTTTGCAATAAACCTGGAACGTTCATACATATATAACTAATTAAAACACAATCACACCATAAGAATTACTTAAACAACATTTATTGGATGTCAAATGAGAATATTTAAAAATATTATTACATAGCTACAAAAATATGGTCTTTACTAGAGAAAAACATACTGAACAGATAAATAAGAACTTTTTTTGAGGAAGTAAAATGACCCTTTTTGTAGAAATGCAGTGAAGAATTTTATACAAAAAATCGTAAATCTATCAATGAAGTAAGCTTTCAGGTCATTTTTACATTTTCTTAAAAGGTGATAGGGAGAATACTGTTTATAAAACATGCAGCAGTATGTTATTCCCCATTATAAATGTTCACTACCGATACTGTCTGCTCACGCATAGAATTTAACTAGCTACAATGTGCATTTAACTCTGAACGCAAAGTTCGAAGTGGACAAAAAAAATTCTTGACATATGTCACATAATTTTTTATTCATAATTCACATACATTCAAACTTAATATTAAAAGACATTGGAAGATGCACCTAAATTCACCTAAAGCAAACAATTTGATTGATTTACAATCCACCTTTATTTAAAAAATTCTATAAATGTAATTTATTTTTATTAAAGGGTTCATTTACATATACATGTGAGGAAAAATGGACTTTCTGATTATAAGATCGCCCGCCGAAAAACCATGAAATAAATTCAAGATCAAAGCAATGTATCACTAAAATAGCTATGTGGTGTTGCCAAAAAAGTATTTATGTAGCAACCACGGTATACGCGTAGGCTGGTGCACTATGCTAAAGATGCATAATGAAGGCCGGTGCATTATGCCAAAGACGCACGTCAGAGTAGAGTTTGTGCAATTCTATTATGTTATTTATTTTACGAGAAAACAGATCACTATTTACAAAGGAGGGACAGCGAAGAAGGTTTTCTCGAAAAATATAAGTATTTTGTAATCGATGTTTGTTGCTTAATTTTATTGATCAATTGTTCTTGTATAAAATTCTTAGTGCGCCGCCTTTTGAGCATTAAATTGGGAAAAATTAGTCACCAACGAGTTCGCGAATATTTGGTGGGGAGTGCACAATGAGAAAGTACCGATAAATGTGCGGTTAAATTTCTCACATTGATTTTTCTGAAAATCGAAATTTTATTTGTTTACAATCCGTGTTAGAAACGGTGTGGCCACACTAGTCAACAAAATTTTCAGAATTTAAGAAATTTAGGATCTGCAGAGATCACACAGGGCTGCTAAAAGACTAGCGCCGACGCTGTTTTCATTCAAAATTAAACGCAGATTATCGAAATTCCTACAGTATCAAGATTGTACTGATGCAATCAAGTGCTCAAATGTAAATGTACAAATTTTTTGCTACTTGTAGCATAATGAGAGGAAAACGAAATAAGTATGTGTTTAAGTCCAGTGCTTAAATTGCACCGGAGCCCAACGGAGGCCCGGCTCAGGCAATTCTCAATTTTTAAGATAAATTACAATTTTAGCCAAAGCGCACCGAAGCCCTAAAAATTTTAAATTCCTGACGTTTTAGTTTAACAAAAAGCAGACCTTGCAATACTCTATTTTCTTAGAAATACAAACTCATGAGAACATGAGACATTCAAGTAAAGTCCCCTCACTCACATGCACTTTAAAAAGAGCAATAAATTTGGGGGAATTTGTTTAGGAACACGTAAATTTCTCGCCATGCAATCGTATTTTGTGTATTGTTATCGATGCTTACAGTTAGTTATCCTCGCAGGAAGGAAAGTGTTCTTAAATGTGCGTTAGGTGACAACGAGTACAATAAGAGTGAAATACTGAGATAAACTGCTCAAGCACGTCCTATACATCGTCTTCCCACAGTATACACTAATGGGGGAAAGCATAACCAGCAACTTTACATTCATCCTTAGGAGTCAGACTCAGGACTCATTTTTCCCTGACACACATCTGCTTGATGGCTATAATTATATCAGCAGAGAGCCGTGGTCAAAGACAATGTTCTCTCTTACCAAGATTTCATTTTTTGTTTCCACCCACTCATACCCTTATTCTGTTTCGCCCTGGAATTTTCATCAGCAATACTTTAAGTATATTTGATTTTTGTGATGATAAAAGAACTCTCCCCCTCCTACGATCAGAGTTTAAATTGGGCCGGAGCCCACCGGATCTCGGCTCCGGTGCTTCTCAGTTTTTGTAATAGATCATAATTCCAGCCAGAACGCACCGGAGCCCTAAATAAGAAGGCTACGGCACTTCCTTTATGTAACTGAATAACAATTTCAGTAGAAATATTAACTCGAAAATTTTTACGATAAAATTATATAAAAAATCGCTTATTAAATTTCAATTTATCTCTTTAAATTTAATTTTAATAACTTAATTACTTCAATAAACAACAATTAATTATCTAATAATTATTGATTAAATTATAATTATCTAATAATTACTAATTAAATTATAATTAATTAAATAACAATTTATAAACATTAATTGAATATTAATTAATTTGATAATAATTAACTATTTAATTTAAAAATTATTAATGAGTTTAATAGTCATTTATTTATTATTTACTCTTGCTCCTCTTGCTGACGGTTTTCCATGGGGCTCCGGCACTTCTAATCTTAGAAATTAAGCCCTGGTTTAGTCCATTGAACACACATGTCATTTACCCATTCTTAGAATTAAATATGATATAACTTAAATAAAATAATATATACTACTAGATAATAAAATAAAATATACTACTAGACATTAAAACTAACTTACAAGAGGACTGTTGATCTTTATTAGCCATATAAATCCATGGCCTCTGTGGGGGACGTGATGATGTGACTGCAAAGAAAAGAAATATATAAGATTCAGAACTTGAATATAATTATCACAACATTAAAAAATATATATGTATAAAACACAGCTAAGTATACAATCACAGATACAGGTACAAAATTCTCCAAGCACAGAAAATAGCACATTTTCCAATAATGCTTTCAGACAATTTAATTAAATAATTTGAATTTTTAAATTAAATAATTTGAATTTACTCTTAGGGAACATAAATGTGCCTTTCAACACGTTGTGTTTTAATTAGTAATTAGTTTCTTAGTAAGTTTGAAAGACCTTCATGAACTGAAAAAAGAAAAGCATTAGGGGATTAAAAAATAATAGACATTTATGAGCACTGGTCTGATCCACATAACTGCTGCTGCAAGCGGTCAAGCACAAGTAGGTACCAAAAATAACGGGAAACAGATATTGAAATACGTATCTAAATTACGGTATATGTTGTCCCAGCGAGCCTGTTTATCTGATTCGTACCTATCAGGTGAAAACGGAAAACAAGAAAGTTGAAGGACCTAAAGCCACCATCTCTGTTGACAACTTTAATTACAACCAGGAAACAAGAACAAGAGGGATATTTTAATCAATTTTCGCAAAAAAAAAAAAAAAAATCAGGGCCCCCTTCGCCGGCTATCAAGCAGTTGAATTTAATAATGTTTAATGTTATGCGCTTAAATTAGTTTGCTACTGTATTCGATTTTCATGAAAAATGACAAATAAATGCCATTCCATGAGACAATATCAATGTGAATTACCTTTCTTGATAGATAACGCCTGTCTTCCTCATACACACAAGACAAATATTCAAGATAAGTTGTATGGGGAAAGCAAAGATCACATAGGTCATTGAAAAAAAGACAATGACACTTAAAAAACACAGTAAATGCACAACATTAAAATCAGTCAACGGTAAACCTGAGGCTCGCTAGTAACATCAAGGAAACAAAACGGTAAAGCTCATTCGAAAGTAGGTTGATTTATTTTCGAACATGCGTGAAAATACATCGTCTGTCACGCTTCAGCCATTTTAACGTACATATCTCAATCTGGTTGAAGCACGGGGAAATAACCAACAAATAAAATCAGAATTTTTTTTGGTTTCTAAGTTCTAATAATCTTTCTTATTCTAAAAGTGAAGGTCTGCGGCCATTTTCTTTTTCAACCTTGAATTGGCACAGGATTTATTTATTGTTTTTTTACCATTCTTTATTAGTCCATTCTATGTGTGGATAAATATCCTTTATTGGATTTTCGTAAGATGCGAAAGAGGGAATACGCCCGTTGCGGACTGATTGGCAAATATGCCAAAGTTTTCTTGCACGATTTTTTAATGATACACAGAAAATAGTAATAGAAAAAAATATACATAGTTCATCACTATTTTGATTTTATTCTCGTACATAAGTAAGCAAATGAAAATATAGGCATGAAAATTAAACTATCGCGTAACAGCGAGGTTGATATCAAGAGCTGCAATCCAACGCTTATAAAATGCTCTTTTCCATCCGAAAATACAAGGTATATTTTCGTACCCCCTTTTTTTTTATCATTTTTTCAAGGAAGAATACATAATTTTCTCTTTCTGTTTACTGTAAAAGTGTACTCTTTCTATCTGTTTACTATACAATTGTAGGGTTCCAGTGCCTTCAAAGAGCCCGCAAACAGAAAAGATATTTTGAAAACGAAATGTAGCAAAACACGCTTTAAAATTAGCCACTTTATAAGCTAAAATAAATATTTCACATTTAAAATTATTATAATAACATATTAATGTTTACCTATTGAAACATACGTACATAATAAAAAATAAACTAAAACTAGTGCTAATTTTAGATCTGAAGCAAATATCTGGCCATAATCACCAAATATAAGTTTGTTCATTTAATACTATCACATAATGCCGGTCTCCATTAAGACAAGTGCAAGTTTGAGATCCTTTCAGGAATTTCCAAGATTCTTTTCACTTAATTGTATGAAGAATGCACGGGTTTACGAAAAAATTACCTAATCATACACAAATAACAATCTTAAATAATGTAAAATTTTCTGGTGTTGTGATTTGCATTTGTTACTAACAAGCATAAAAAAGTTTTCGTTAAACAACATACTGGGTAAATAGCGTATTTCTCGAGCTTTAATAAGAAAGATGCATTTTAAACGTTTTTACATTTCATAAAATGAAATGGAACTGAAAAATTGTCCAATTTTTATTTTAACTTTATTTATTTATTCGCTTACAGCTTTACATGACGGGATATAATCAGCAATATCTAAAAAATCTCTCAGAATTTATCACCTCACCAATTGAATACAGTTGATATTATGGAACTGGTTAAGTCTCATCACCCGTATGCAGAAGACAAGGTGTCGCATGCTCAGAATCATGTCATCACCATAGCCGTCATCCCATTACAAGACAAAATAATTAGTTTAAGAAATAATTATCTTATCTTTCTATTCTTATCAATAATTATCGCAGCAGGTTTTTACTCGGAGATTTTTCTAGTTGGTTGGTTATTTACTAAGACAAAGCATTCGAGAGCTACGAGGGCTATCCAGAAAGTAGATTACGTTTTGGAATAAAAAAATAAACAAAGTATAGGAAACAAATTTTATTATATACAGATGAAAGCCACACTCAAATACTACTTTTCTACATAGTCACCATACAAATTAAGGCATTTATCGTAGCGATGTACGAGCTTGGAAATTCCTTCGTCGAAAAATTCGGCCGCCTGCGCCTTCAACCACTTCGTTACCTCTTCTTGCAGCTGTGCGTCGTCATCAAAACGCTGCATAGCCAGCCACTTCTTCATTGCTGGGAATAGGTGGGAAGTCGCTCGGTGCCAGGTCGGGACTGTACGGCGGATGAGGAAACAACTCCCACTTAAAAGATTCAAGAACTTTACGAGTGACATTTGCCGTGTGGGGCCGGGCGTTGTCGTGAATCAACAAGATCTTAGAGCTCAACATTCCTCTGCGCTTGTTTTGAATTGCTCTTCTGAGTTTTTGGAGAGTTTGGCAATACCTTTGAGAGTTTATTGTAGTGCCTCTTTCCAGGAAGTCCACCAAAATTACACCTTTTCTGTCCCAAAAAACAGTCGCCATCATCTTCCTTGCCGACATTGTTTGCATGCATTTCTTGGGTTTTTGGGGGAGAACTTGTGTGCCCCCACTGCATTGATTGCAATTTCGTTTCACAGTTCACATGTTTCACCCATGTTTCGTCACCAGTAACGATGCGATCGAGTAAAGAGTCACCATCCTTATGGTAAGCGTCCAAAAAGTTCAAACGCTGCAGCCATTCGCTGATTTTTGTGGTCCTCTGTCAAGATTTTTGGAATCCATCTTGCACAAAATTGTGGTAACCAAGCTTTTCGCTGATGATTTCGTGCACACAAACTTCGCGAAATTTGTGGAAAACTCAAAGAAAGTTCCGTTATTGTGAAATTTCGATTTTCACGGACTTTAGCATCGACTTTTTCGAGAAGTTCGGCGGTCACTATGCTGGGTCTCCCACTTCGATCTTCGTCGTGAACATTGGTTCGGCCATTTTGAAATCTTATGACCCACTGACGCACTCCACCTTCAGTGATAATGTTGTCCCCATACACTTCACGAAGCTGCCGATAGATTTCTATCGGTTTACAGTTTTTTGCAGTCAGAAAACCTTATTACTGAGCGCAACCTCGCAGCTCGCGGGATTTTCAATTAACGCAGACATTTCAAACCGTCACAGTATCTGAACGGAGCACAGCACGAACCTCTCACTAGCACGGCTAGATGCAGACTGAGCTGCGCAACGCTCTGACCCCAAGATGGCCGCGCTAGCCCCGCCCCTAGCGGACACAGACGGAAACGTAATCTACTTCCTGGATGGCCCTCGTATATTCCTTAAAAATATGCCTATATGGAGTATTTTTCAAGAAAATCTTCAGACAAGTATTTACATTAAGGAGGAGGAAACTGTAAGAAACACAGCTCAATCAGTCGTTGGAATCAAATCCGTGGTGAAGTATTTGTGTTCCATCAATTTAACCACTCAGCCATTCATAAACCACAGTTCTTTACTTCTTTACGAAGAAGGATGCTACGTTTCCGCGAAACGGAAGAAGTTAAATCATAAATACAAGCTGCTCTCCATTGACTCTCCAGGTGGTTAAGTCCTTGAATTTCGTGCATTGGGAAACAAAAATACCAAAGGTCTGAAACAAATTTGAAAACAAATTTATGTTGATCCAACTTTTTTGGGGGGGGGGACAAGAGCGAAATAAAGATGCGGGTTCATCAATAGATATCAGGGTCAAAGTTAACTATGCCACGCCAATGTCGGACATATTTTTTGTACAACAATCAAATTTACTGAAGGGAAAAATTCTTTACATCAGGAAAACACTCAACTATTGGCCTTGCATGTCTTGGTACAGCATTAACACCACATTTTCATGGACAAACTAGGTTTCCATAGAATAATAACACATTTATCATGTTCGCAGAATAAAGAGGAGGAAATGAAAAAGGATGTTGCAAATGCTGCCAGTATATGTTGGTTTTTACATACCACACGTTGTTTTCTTCTTTCAGACGACTAATTTACCGCAGTAACAGAAGGAATTAAAATGAAAAACGCCCAGACAGTGCTGCACATTCAAGTTTACAGACAGTCGGCTTCATTACACCACGTATTACATGAAAAAATGCCTTTTAAGCCTCAAATTTTCAATACTACTAAAATATTCGCATCCTTGCAGTGCTGAAACTTTAGGCATACAACTAAGAATGCAATTATTTAAAAATTAATTAACTGTAGAGGTAAAATAAAATACACATGGAATTAATACTACAGGATGCAAAAATTAAGTGGAAATATTTGAGAAAGTTGCTTTTATTTCATACTACGGCTATTTAATGATATTGGATGGAAAAGGGAACAATGAGAATGTTTATATAATAAGCGTGTAATGTTTATCTAATATATGCGTGTTTTACATATG